TGGTGGTAATGTATAATTTTTTTATCTACAATTGCTAAAATAGTTCTTGAACGTAACGTAGACAAATTAATTACTAACAATTGTTTTGTAGTAAGACATATAATTACCTATGTATCAATTTTATTGCATATAATTTTTGATTTACTGTATTTGTTTACATAATTGTATTCAATTGGCTCCAAGGCATTATTGCGCCTTTTTCACCTAGCCTGCATTAAATATAAAAAGTATATCTTAAAATATAAATTCACTAGTTTTCGTGGTCCGCTTGACCAATTAATATCTTTCAATTAATTAAGGTTTTTAGTTGAGATAAAAAAGTCAGTGTCACGAGCGGGATTCGAACCCACGATCTTCGGCTAGATACGCCGCTCTAACACCTGAGCTATCGTGACTTCGATCCCCCCGGGCACTAACTTCCCATCTCAACCCCACCTTTTGAATTTTCCGTCCTTTTTGCCATTTTTCACGATTATCTTCATCGACCTCGAACTCCGGGAAGTTGGTGTCCGAGTGGATCAAGGTCACGATAGCTCAAGTGGTAGAGCAGCGGCGTATCTAGCCGAAAATCGTGGGTTCGAATCCCGCTCGTGACACTGACTTTTTTATCTCAACTAATAACCTAATAAGGTTAAAACAGTGTCAGACAAACATTTCCTTTTAACACAATATATAATACAGTATAGGTGACGTACTGATAGGAATAGAATCATGGTTTAGTTATAGTCTATTTCCAGCATTTTGAAAAAAAATGTATTTTTTGTTTATTTATTTTAATTAAGTAAGTTGTAAATTACAATAATGTAGTTGAATCATTGAACATTGGCCTTTTAGGCTTTCAGTTCCTATTTGTTTCCTTTGTTGTGTTTCTAAACCCTTCTGATTTGGTCCAGGAGGGCACAAATTGGTTCATATTGTATGCTTTACACGACACCATCTTGTCAATAGGACTGTAATTTGGTGTAAGACTGTTTCAATTTAGAGACAGCTGTGAGCTACCCAATTTATGTGAAGGAATTTTGACTTTTCATTAAAATACCCGTTTCCCATTCGATTTCTTCTGACCCAGTTCGTTATTATTCGTTTTAAATGTTTTTTATTAGCAAGTTTGTCTTTTTTTTCATTACCGTAGTCGGTCTGATTATCAGATACGATTACAGGAGCCGAGGGTATTAATGCAATATTAATTTTGATCCCTTGGGGCGAATGCCTCTCAATCGATTTTAACCAAATTTACAAGTTATATTGGGGTACATTTGATCAATAATTCATGGAAATTCTATGGTGTTCGGTTTGTCAACACTTATCTAATTGTTTTATAATAATAACTTCATTACTTCAGTATTCTTAAAGTATGTTCCTCAGGAAATTAGCGTTCTCTGGCAATTTAATAGTATGTATTATTATTATCATTATCGTATTCAACTTAATTTTCAAATATTGGTACAAAGTATAGAAACAGTAATATGAGTGTTAACAATAAATTAATAATTACACGGGTTTACCCACTGATAACGCTGTGCTGATCTGTCCTTTCTGGCACATTTACCTTACGTTGGCCATATGTTTTGATGTTTTTTATAAATTTCTCGATTACAAATAAACCAGAGATTTCGGATTTTTATGGATTTTAACGCCTGGATCTTTTTTCCTCAAATATTAAATTGACTTTTTTTACGCATGAACAATAAATTTTACTTATTACTAATATTACGCCTCAACGAATCAATTGATTGATTATGTAAATTTACCTTGGAGGGGTATTCTTCCAATAAAGGAGGCCTACACCCCGATTGGGGTGGGTGCCCTTTCAAAATTGAACGGTTATTGAACAGTTGTGTTAAGATGGATTTCAGAACGAAATTTGATCACTTTAAACCATTTCCTTTTATCTCTGGTTAACAATAAACTGAAATTAATTTTTTTTTAAATGAACAAAATTAAGTCCCAAATGATAGAAATAAATCCACCCCGAGGGCAATCCAATCCATTTTTTCATGGCATATCGTCATATTTTGAGCTACCGGCTGATTACGGCGAAATAGTCATACAGAAAATGATTTGAAAAATCAATAGGTTTTATTTTTCTAGCTATCTTTGAGTAGTTTGATATAAGTATTTTAAAATCAAAGATAATTTAATTCATTTTCCCCAAATACAATATTGTAAAAACTTTTTAGGTTGCAGAAATTTTTGAAACATGGTTCCATGAAACATGGAACAGTGATGTGAAAATAAAATTTTCTAACAAGCGGTGTAGAGAAATCTGAGGGCTATCCAAAACTTATTTTTTGAAGACATCATCTTTTGTGTTAACCCTTCACCCTGCTTATATGCTTGACACACCACTGGGTTTGGCGAAATCAGTTTTGGTGTGCTTAGCCTGAAGTAAACAATCCTCTGGACACAATCTTATAATTCCCGTAATACTCCGAAACCTCCCTCAGTAAGCCATAGTTTTTGTTACTAAAATTTACAATTCAATCCTACGCACCTCTCACTTTCCCCTACTATGGAAATATTTCATAACCAGGCACATATTCTCTTACAGACCTATCAGCCTTTTCCCATTTTCCCATAAAAGTCCAAAATCCGTGAAATACTGCGTTTTAACATATCACACGGAGAATTATCGACCAGCGATGATTAACAATTGATGACTGGGATCAGGTATGTGGTCCAAAATGAAGTAGTCATATCTTTTTTGCCTTCCTTAGGACTGGATACTTAGATAAAAAACATAAATAAGCATAAAAACAGAAGGGACACATTCAGGTACTTAGATCTGTTTTGTTCTTATGTTTTTACTTTATACAATATTAAGTTTTTACAGGTTAACCAATAAATAATTTAATAAACTAACCGTCACGGTTACGATTTACTGTAAATAATATTTATTAATTAGATTATTTATTTATTGAGTTATTTATTTATTAAATTATCTATTTGTTAACATATAAAAACTTATTATTGTATAAAGTAAAAACTTAAGGACAAAATTTACCTAAGTACCTTAACGTGCCGCTTTTATTTTCAATAAATCAAAAGGCGAAAACTCGGCAAAAAAGATAGACCACTTTGTACCACTCCTTTTTAAACGCCAAATAGCTAACTTAAACTTTCATAATGTCATTCCTTCACATCAATTTGGTTTCCGCCATTCCAAGATTCAGCAATGTTTCAGTGTGGTTGATAATTTCAACTAATTAAGGTTTTTAGTTGAGCTAAAAAAGTCAGTGTTACGAGCGGAATTCGAACCCACGATCTTCGGCTAGATACGCCGCTGCTCTTCCACTTGCGCTATCGTGACCTCGATCCACTCGGACACTTCCCATCTTAACCCCTCCTTTTGAATTTTCCTTCCTTTGTTGATAATATTTGCTCTGCTTGGAGGACGAAAAGTACTTCTCGGGTGCATTTCTTCAATCTTGCTTTTGAAAGGGCCTGGCACCCGGGAGTTCTCTTTAAACGAAAGCAGTACCTACCCACTGCTTAATCCTAAAATTCTAACTAATAGACGGCTGCGTCAGAGTGAGATGCGGCAATAAGTCCGCTCCTCTGTCTCCTCGAGTCCTAGCCAAGCCACCTCCAATATCCACGAGTATATCCACGAGTATCGTGAAGCACATTGAAGAATGGAGCAAAACGTGGAAGATGAAACTGACCGAGGTCTAATGGACCCAAGATACATCATTTAAATCGACAAAGAAACAGTACAACTTCTTTAGTTTTGAAAATGACAAATTAACAAGATTATGAAGAATGAATAAATTTTCAGAAGTGGAGAAGCCCTTACGGAAGCCTACCTGAAATTCAATTAGAAGATTGTTAGAAGACACAAAATATTCCAGTCGCCTCAGGAGCATTCCCGAAAATATTTTTGAAACTGCGTCTAAGCAAGAAATTCCTCTATAGTTAGATAGTTAGAACAAATGAGTATTACTATAAAAAAGAATTATAAGCAGGGTAAGGCACCATAATTGATGATGGCGAAAAGAGCCTCTCACTGGAAACAACCAAGCTGCATGTTTTATTTTTGTGACGCTCCCATAAGAGGTTAGGTTGCTTTGTAAGTTTCAAAATCAAAGATGATTTATTTAAGGTAAACGTTTAATATTTCTATAATATATAAGTACGATTTATTACTGTCAAATTAGAGAAGTAGGATGCATTTGAAATGAACAAGGAGCGGTTGCTAGAAATGATTCACTCCACTAAACTAAACTCATAAATTAATTTTGGTTGATTCCAAAATTTTTAATTCTAAAAATATTTTCAGTCCCGATGAGGGGATATATTCCTCGAAAGCATATCGAAAAGGAACTTTATTTCAAATTCGCTTCATCCGTGACTTTTTATATAAAATATGTTATTAAGGTTGATAACAAAATCACTTCAAGATAATGGCCATATGGTAGATTGGATAAATTTATGAGATTCTAGAAAACTAGTATTTTCTCCGTTTAACGCTAAATCACAAATCATAAGAACACCCGTTTAATTACGAAGTGTCGCAATAAGTAAAGTACCCATTGCCTCAGTTATTTCTTCTACTTTTAATATTAAATATAAACTTAATTCGCCGTAGAATTAAATATCCCTGACAGTATTCAGCAATACAGTTGTAACAGATATGCATTAATTATTTAATATTCAAACTTGTGTGGCAGTTACAGGGGACGAAGTTGAGTTGTATTAATTATTAATCCTCCAGCTGGAGTAAATCACAATGTGGCTGAATTTAGTCCTTAGTAAATATAAATGACGTAATTTGATATTTAATTGTTTTCGTTATTATTTGAACTTTTATACATTTAAATAGCTTTGAACTTTTTATAGCGAAATGTATACGGTTGCGTATTTTCCTCGTGTAACTTATTATTATTATTCATGCCCTCTCTAAAAAAAATAAATAAATGTATAAAATTATGTCATTTCTGACAAAAATATAATCTCACGTTTATAATTGTTTGTTGACAAGAAATAGTATTTTGTTTCAGGTTATGACCGCGTTCGGAAAAATCGAGCGTGACTTCAACTTGGTCGTTGTAGTGCCGACTGCTTACATCTTGGGTACTGGCGAATATCATATTGGCCAAGGGAGCACAATCAGCCTGGTCTGCGTAATTGAAAACGTAAGTTAGATATGAAAATTATCGTCGTGTAAGCTGCTCATATGAAAACAAGTTGCCGACATGGACCTGTTTCTCCTTAGAAAGAAAAGTTCATTTTTACACCAGAGCCTTTCCTTTTTTCCTCATCTTAGACCCGTCTGTAAAAACCGTCAACCATTTCGTTCAACTTGATTGCAATGCAATTATGCATGAAGCTTCTTAAAAACAAGTCTTTCAACAAGTGGAAAATTAACTTGGCGTTCGAATTTTAGCAATCTCGCCATAAATCCAATTCTTATAATCTTGTCTTCAAAATATTTTAGCATATATTTCTTAATTATTATTGATGTTGACTAGTTATATAGTAATTAATATTGGTAAACAAGAAAAACAAATTTGAGATTTAAAAAACTGGACCTTTTACAGATTACGTGCTAATAATGACGAAATAAATCATTTACAGAATTAATTATGAATTTCGCCCACCGTGTGTTAATTAAGTTATAGTTTGTATTACCTGCAAAAAGTTCTCTCGTTGGCCTTTTTTGATTTATTAGTTAATAAAATCTCGAGTTTCGAAATTATTCCCTTAACTTACTAAGAATACTTCGAGAAGTTTTTTTCAGCCAATTCATATTATACTGTAAACTTTTTTATAAACGTATTATATAATAACTCTTATTCGAGGTTCTGCTTACTTTAATAGCAATTATGTCGGTAAATGAACAAAAGGTTCGATATACTGCGCATATTTTTTATTTTAATAAGCTAAGTCATATGAGCGACAAAGCAAAATTTCCATTAATACATTTTGATAGCATATTTAACTCAGAGAAATACAGTCATTAGGAGTTCTCTTCTGAGTATGCATTTTCTATTTGTAACTAGGCCCATATCGAATCGATGGTAACCAGACACCCGTCAGACAAAGAGAGATGAAACAGAGGCAATTTTCTCCGGACTTAGGAAACCCGGAAAAGCTTGTCTTCAGAATTGGAAAAGTTTAATAAACTCGTGACAGAAGTACATTGTCGCCGACTCTGGCCTAACCGCATGCACATACAAGATGAAGCGGGAAGGGTATTATGCCGGGAACAATCAGTGAAACTCCGCCAGAGAAGCTTTACCGAGGGATTTGAATTGGAAGCTCCAAGGTAGTTAAGATACGTCTTTAATACAACACCAAGAGACTGAAAGTACGCATGAATCGACGCCAGATGAGGACGGGTTAATGCGATTCGACATACGATTTGAATGGGTATAAAGGAAGAACTTGACAACTTGATGTCAACCAAATACAAAACAACTTAACATACAAGTCACTAGAAGTATAAAAGTTAATATCAAACCGGAACAACATGGATAATTTTCTAATTAAAAAGAAGCTAATGAAATTTTAACGTTTTTATCCTAATCTATTAAAACTCATTTTAATAAAATGTTAAAAAATGTGCATCATTTCTGAAACGGACCGCCTATCGTTGCTGTTTTGAACTATTGCATGCATTATATGCCACCATAAATGGTGAGTTAGCGTTAGTACTCGTTTTACAATACAAATAAAATACCTGTAAACTGGTCGTTTCCTATCATATTTGGTTTCCTTATCCTCATTGTTTTGGACTGTCGGACAAGTTTTTGACTTAGTGATTTTTCCTCACCTTGCATATAACCCTGACGCCTTTGTTGACGGCGAAAAGTCGAAACCTAACGACTCATGTCAAAAACACAAAAATAAAACCTCCAACTTGATCGTTTCCTATCAATTTTTGCTTTGTAATTCCCCCTGTTTTGGACTGGCGAACGGGTTTTTTACGTTAGGATGGTGTCTCACCTTGCATATAACCCAGATCCATCATCATTAATTCGCATTATAAAAATGTTTTACATTGCAAAATTTTTTTAAACTTGATATTTTAATTGAACGATCCAAAACTTATGTTTCATTACATCTCGTCTTCTTAAGTCTAAATGTCTCCTCACCTTCCTTATACCCAGACCCACCACTGGTTATGTTGAAATGTCGACACAGGTCCGGTACTACAAAAATCATGCGAAACGACGTAACCAAGGTGTAAGCAAAATATGTTTTGTAAAAACATTTTAGGCTATATAATTAAAAAAATAAAGATAGGCAAAACCATCATACATAAACATGAAAGATAACACTAAAATTAAATAATAAAATATTACGCATCAAATTTTCCACGATCCCGAAAGAGAACACGCATTAACTGTTAACTATGAATAAATAAAAGCTCAATTTTGATTTAAATATATAATACTGATACTGTGTGCTTTATTATTTATAACTGTTTACCGGCATAGTAAGAGCCCCAGCATAAGTTAATTAAGCTTTACTTTCGTCTACAGTACAATGTAAATGGCCGACCTAAAATGCTTCACCATAAACATTGTTTAGGCGAGTTGAACAATTTGTAAAAAGTGTAACTTACGCAACTTACTTTTATAGTTTACCTCAACTTACTTTTATAGTTTATCTCTGTACCTTTATAACGTTAAACGTTTTATGGTGGTTTGTCCCTGTACTTTAAAATTAGAAAATGCCTGCTTTCTAAGAACGTCGAGAGTTTTTGATCAAGATTCAAATATGAATTCACATATTTGAAATCTTGGATTTTCATACGTTTAAAAATTAATGTCATTTTTTGATGTCATCCTGGACTTGTTTTGTTAAACCTTGCTTTGCAAAAAAAATATCAAATCCTTCATCAGAGTGCATATCCACTTCCAGATAACGCGACATATGTGACTATGTCAAGTCGCTAAGTAGATTCATATCTTCGCAATGGCCCTCATCTTAGATTCTCCTTTAATCTCAACATTCCAGGCTGGTAGATCAAATATGTAAGTTTCTTGCTTCACTGTATGCCTCGTGCAACTAGAGACGAGTTTCTCCGTTGCCAAAGGATCGCCAACTTGTACGACGAAGCACCCTTGGTACAGACGATTAACTATTTGAAACTTCCTTTATACGAAATTAACTCCTCGATCCATAACAGCGTTAAGCAAAGTAAGACGATGTTTGATTTAAATTAGTTGACGACTCTTTTCTGCTAGGGCTTACATAGCCTAATATTGACAATTATTTAATTGATTTTGTCCTGAAATCTACGATAGCGATAAAACATTCAACTGTTTTGTAAAGAAACGAATTTTGGTTGAAAATGACCAATCATGTCATATCTAGTCAATTTGGATGCTGAACGGCGCACTCTTTCCCTAGCCCATTGTTGAGAGAGAGAATTCGATAAAGGTTCAGTTTGCCATAAAGTCTTCATTGATGTGTAAAAGGACACAGGCAAAGGCATTGCTGGGAAACAAAATGAGATTAAACAGAGAGGCCATCAAGGAGACGTTGCGGATTCTCGGGAAGGGAAAAATTAGATAATTGGGCAGTATGGTTAAGATGGATCGAAAACTTGGTGCGGAACCTTTGGAAGCAGAATTGGATCAGTTCATGGACAAAAGAAACGTTATACTCGTTGTGTATGGAGAGATTAATGACGTAATAAAGTCCTTTGACGATTTGCTTTAAGATTTTCTATTGTAAGGATTAGATGCGATGGATATTTCCCGCAATTCCACTCCGTATGTCCAGTTCATAAGTAATATCTTGTTTCTTGGGTTTTGGTCAGACTTTTTTTCTTTAAGGGGAGTTGTGTAAATATTGTTTGAGGATTCTACCTCAGTCCCCGTACATGTCAAAGTAACTGAGTTGAGTGGAAGTCCTTCCTGTTGATTTAAAGTGGATAGCAGGACAGTTTTTCAATATAAATGTACACTGGGTACATTTTTCTTTATTATATCTTGACTTCCGCTTTTACCGTCTTTGATAAGCTCAAGGTGATCTTGCATGTTGGAAGTTGCTCGGATAATATTCGGGTTAAAAGACGGCTCCAATTCAGTCATCCTCACAAGCTGTAATGATGGCCACGTACAGAAACCCATCCAAGAAATATTATGTTGTCTTCAACGAAGGAAATCATCGCCTCTGAATCCTAGCTGTATCGTGTAATGGTGTAATGTAGTAGGAAACTGAATTTGTAAGAAGGTATGGTTCCATTCGAATATTTCGAAGGTTTTGGACATCACATAAAGAATGATGATGGGTCTGTAGAAGGATATGTGGTTAGGAGGTTAACAAGCTTTAGCAATGAGAATTTCTACGGAATATCTCCCTAAAAGAGGAAGTGAGTAGTGCGTAGGATGAAATAGTATGTTTTGGATAAAAATACTATGTCCTTCTGAGGAAGGTTTAGATATATATAGATCACATCCAGAGAATTTTTTACTTGGTCCTTCAAAAAGATGGTTTGACAAGGATAAAATGATGATCTGGTATACTATTATGCATATATTATTGTATAAATTATGCATCAATTTTTGTATATTAGGATCAATATTTTTATCTGAATGAGGCGAGCCCATTGCTAGGTCGCTTCTGGCTCAAGATCCATTAAATATTAAGATGTTAAGTTTAATTCCACTATTTTTCGTGGTCCGCTTGACCAATTAATAACATTCAACTAATTAAGGTTTTAAGTTGAGATAAAAAAAGTCAGTGTCATGAGCGGGATTCGAACCCACTTCCTTCGGCTTGATACGCCGCTACTCTACCACTTGAGCTATCGTGACTTCGATTCCCCCGGGCACTAACTTCCCATCTCAACCCCACCTTTTGAATTTTCCCTCCTTTTTGCCATTTTTGACGATCATCTACATCGAAGTCACGATAGCTCAAGTGGTAGAGAAGCGGCGTATCAAGCCGAAGATCGTGGGTTCGAATCCCGCTCTTGCCATTGACTTTTTTATCTCAACTAAAAACCTTAATTAATTATAATAGATTAATTGGTCAAGCGGACCACGAAATTAGTGAATTTCTTAATTAATTAAGTTTAATTCTATTACGTAGATATTAGTAAGAAGCGTTAGTAGGTGTTATCCGTGTGAATTATTTAGCTAATAGGTTTTAAGTCCTGTTGAAGAGTTTAATCGTG